GGATGGTACAGGGATGGGACTGCTTTAGACCCCGTGTGATAACGTCCTAGGAGACTTTTGCTTGTCTTTTGGGCTGTCTATCCACAGTGCCCTTAGCACTCTTCTCCAGCACCACATCTCCAGTGAATTGATTTTCTTCCTATCTGTTTTCTTCACTGTCCAGCTCTCGCATCCCTACGTAGTCAAACAAAATCCATCAGTGATACCTTTATTGGCCAACCAAATTGTGCAATATATTTGTTGCAAGCTTTCAAAGCTCCATTGGCTTCTTCATTAGGCAAGATGTTAAAAACCAAACAGGAGAAAAACAATTGGAGATGTTAGTCAGATGCTTACATGTTGTTGGGGGGGAGGGGTTGCAGACTGCCAGAAATAGTGCAAATTGAGTCCACTTTAAGGGTTAGGGTTAGGGTTAGGGTTAGGGAATCATGGGAACTGTATTTTATTGTGGCACCAGAGCTCTCTTTCAGAGAAGGCTCAATGTCTCAGAAAAAAACAAAAACCAATCCCCATGATTCCCTAGCACTAACCCTAACCCTTAAAGTGGACTCAATTTGCACTATTTCTGGCAGTCTGCAACCCCCTTAGTCTTTAGTTAAGATGGTATATGATGGACATTTTTTGCAGGCAGGCTCCTCCTCCTGTGGCTATAGGGAGATTTTTCCTGTCCAGGAAATTTAAAATCCAATTGCATCTCAACAGGGATCCCTCTTTGGCAATCCAATATGGTTCCATTCCAGTGAGGTCACAAGCCTCTTTGTGGCAGAGAACGATGGTCCCTACATTGTGATGGAGAATACAATGCCTTCAACGACTCCTGCTCAGTCCTACATCTTTCCTCTTTAGGATCTTGTCTAATTCTTTCATAGCTGCCCTTCCCATTCCTAGATCCAAGGTACAGGAAATCTTTTAAATATTTCAATTTCCTCATTATCTAGGTTGAATCTATAGAAATTATCACACTGGGTAAAGTGATGAGAGCATACCGGGATGCTCCCGTCACTATTGTGCTAGTGTGCTAAAATTATCAGATGACGTTGTGCAACATCGTCACAATCCCATCATTAATGTGTGAATCCCAATATGCTCCCATCACTTTCCCTGGTGTGATAATCTATGTGGCTCCCAAACTTTGGTCCTCCTTGTGTTTTGGACTCCAACTCAGTTTGGTTAACAGTGGGGAAATCTGGGAGCTGAAATCCAAACAAATCTGGAGAACTAAAGTTTGGGAACCACTAATATATATCCTCCTATATTGAGACCCATTTTGTTGTTATTGTATGCCTTTAGTTCATTTCTAACTTATGGCAACCCGAAGGTGAACCTATCCTGGGTTTTTTTTGGCAAGTTTCCTCAGAGGAGGTTTGCCATTGCCTTTCCCTGAAGTTGAGAGAATGTGACTTGACCAAGGTCACCTAGTGGGTTTCATAGCCCAGCTGGGCATCAGATCCAGGTCTCCAGAGTCATAATCCACTAAAAAACAATTGTAGTCCAGTAGCACTTAATGGTGCCACAACCCAACCCACCCACAGGGACAGTGATGCCATGGGTCACGTGCCACTTCTAACGGTCCCAGTAATGTTATACTTAAAACACCAGGGAGGAGAGTGGGAACTTAGTGTTTGAAAGTGAAATAACAGCCTTCGATTATCGGGTGCTCCCCTCAACATGTCCACTCTTTTAAAACACACACACACCGCAGTAGTCCTTTTAATAGCCTTTCTGCCTCCTCCTAACTGGGGTCCAAAACACACTGCAGAAATAATCCAATTTTGAGAACGCTTTAATTGCCCTGGCTCAGTGCTAGGGAATCCTGGGAATTCTACTTTATTCTGGCCAATGACAGCTCTCTCTGACAGAGAAGGCTAAATGTCTCACAAAACTACAGTTCCCAAAATTCACTACCAAGGCAGTTAAAGTAGAGTCAACGTGGATAATTTCTGATGTGTGGATGAGTCGGGATTCGAACCTCCGTCTCTAGTTGTAGCCCAGCATTCAAACCACTACAGCACACTGGATCATTTACAGTATACTATACTATGCATGTGTGTGTGTGTGTGTGTGTG